ATCCAATGAAAATTCAAAGTTTACCAGCGAGAGAAAGGTTGAAAAACGAGTTTGGAGTTGAGTTTTTAGGTCTGGGAACGAGTCCCAATGAAAAGTGCTCAAAAAATCGAGGAAAGACGAGTTTTAAAAAATTCTGGTCGCGCGCCCCGCGGGCTGCGGGTCTACTCCGCGGCCGCGAGCTCCCAGGCGCAGGAGCGCTCTACGGGCGAGACCCAGCACAGGTCACGGTGATGAACGCTTCCGCGGCGCACAGGCGCAGAAGGAGTCTGCGGCCGCGGGCTGCGTCACGGGTTGCGACGATGATCCTGAGAGCGCGGGCTGCGACGATTATTCATATTTAACTTATTTTTTAAATTTGAATGAAGTTAAGTGTTACAATGATCAAAATTATACGTAATACATACAGTTAAAATAAAAATAATTTATATGATTAACTTACTTTATTTTCATTGGAATCAAAGATAATGAGATGATTTTTTTTTCTTTTTTTTTTTCAGAACGATAGGGAATATATATAACAAACGCACAAATGTGCAAAGATACAACTTGGAGCACAGCCCAAAACTGAATAAAATGGAAGGACAGGTATGACGACCGCCTAGAAACCCGACACTAGCAAATGCTAGAAACCAAAACAAGACACTCTAGACAACTACACAACAACACAAAGAAAACTACAACGAAAAGCTCCCCACAGGAGAATAGAGACAGGAGCTGGTCCCCACAAGACAATTAATTGCTCCGCTCAAACTGAGGCCAAGGGCCCATACCTAAAATACAGAACATAAACAAACAGGCAAAGTGCCCAGACCAAAAATACAACCTACCACCTTAAACGACAAACACAAAACAACAAGAGGGAAAAAAAGCCCTTCCACAGCAAATCAACCGGACCAAACTAGCAGAGAACAGTCGATACCAACGAATAATCCAAGTTCCGGGACCACTTCCGAAACTGCCGCAAAGCCTATACAAAAGTCGAACCCGAACATGAACTAAACTCCGGAAAACGACCCGCCACCAACCGAAGGAACAAAAGCGAACAACTCCCACACCAGCTCCAACCAAACCTTTCTAACACCACTAGTCGAGCTCGAGAGGAACCGATCCCCCGCCGCCTAACACCACTAGCCGGTCGGAGAAACGGTGAGGGTGGTTCTGCCACTTGTCGTCGGCCTCCCCAACATTGAAAACGCCTCGGCATCCAGAGTAGCGCCCACTCGTAGCAACACACCTCCGCCCACCATAACCACAAACCCGCCATCAGAGCCCGAATATCCCGTCGGAAAGCCGAAGCCCACCACTAGGATCCCCAGCAACCCCAATCTCAACCCAACACAGCCAATAGACGGAAACTAACCTCAGAGGCCACGCAAGAAGCCAGAGACGATCGCAATCAAGGATTCCGAGTTGTAGCGGCAAAGTCCCAAGCTCTGACCGCCACAGCCAAATTCGTCGTAAGCGCCAGAGCCCTGACCCTTCCACAGACACACGTCCCTCCCGACACCACCACTGACCACAAGATCCGGCAACTAGCCCACAAGATACCGCCGGAATCGTCAGTGGGAGAGCCGCGTCGATCCAGCAGCCTTCGGCAGCATCGGAGAGAAACTGCATCCGGAAGGGTCGAGCAGTTGAAGACGACCGCAGGCCCGAGTCCACCGCCGCTGAGGAAGGCTGAACGACGGGAGATTTAGAGCAGCGACGCTTGGATTTTGACGGGAGAGAAAAGGGGATCGGGAGAGCAGCGACGCTTGGATTTTCTCATTAACAATCTTAAAAAAAATGTGTGAGGAGAACTTAAAAAACAAAGGAAAACATAATATCTCATTCAATCATCAACATAAAGATGGAGTTTAGTTGACGTACTTGTGTTATACATTTCTTTTGTATTCAGCTATTTTATACTGATACCTTAATATGATATCCCATTCTCATTACATTCCGAACTCATAGTATTATTCTATTTAATAAACTCATTTTTATTCTTTTTATTTTTACTTTTATTCCTTCACTGACATGATTAATAAATTGATTATTCTTCCTTACTATAAAAAATAGTTAGCAAAAAAATAACCACTGCATATATCGCACGCTGGGGCGGACACAGATATAGGCCAGCCTAGGCAATTGTCTAGGTTCAATCTTTTGTGCTAACATGTTAATAAAAAATTTATATTTAATATGTGTAAAAATATAATTACAAGTTTTTATTTTAAAATTTTAAATAATTTTTCCAAAATAACATTATTATTTTTATTTAAATTGATACACCTCACCGTCAGATTCGAGGATTTTATATTATAACATTTTTAGTACTTATGTCATATAATAAGCTTGATAGATAAATTTATTGTTTTTCAATTATAATTGATAAATATTTAAATTTTTATGGATAAAGATCAGATAGATTTAATTATTTTAATTTACATATAAAATATAAATGTCAGATTATATATTGTCAAAATACGACTAATTTAAGTTATTATATATAAAAAATGATAATATATAAAAATGTTATTGACTTTTAAAATATATTTACAATTTAGGTTACTAAAGCATTTAAATTTGAAAGTTCTAAATAAAGATCAATATTTGTATGGACTATTTCAAATTCTTAAGAATTAACATATAGAATTACAAAGCGTTGGAAATTGAAAATGAAAAACTCTACATTTATCTATAAGTAGATAATCCATAAGAAAATATTTATAAAATAACAAGTAAAAAAAACAATAACATTTACGATTTTCTTAAATTAATAAATTATATTCAAAATGACTTGTTTATTTATTACAAAAAAATAAAGAAAAAATAATTGTAAAATACTTTTGGTATATTTCTAATTAATAATAATAAAAATACAAAATAAAATAGCCAAACATTATTCTCAATTTCATTTTTTATTATCAAGTCAAAGGCAAATTAAATACGGAACCCCTCAACACCCGATTATTTCAACAATTTATTTAATTGTTAGTATAAGTATTTTGTGCAATATAGTTAAAAATTTCTTCGAACTATTTTTTGCTCTGACTCATGAAAATTTCTTGATCCGCCGCTGATCGCACGTGCATTTTACTAGTTCAAAAGTGAGATAAACATCTTTGCTGTCTGTTCTATCCGCCTGAACTTCACTTCTCAGCTCTCCGCTTTAGAGATAAATATAGGCGAACCAAGCTTTTTTTGGAACCTTTGGAGCCTTCTTTTTTTTATATAGTCATTATGAGGTTAGGTACAGAAAGAGTTCTAAGTGCATTTTCGAAAAATTCATTTACAAGAGAGGGAAGAGAAAATAGATAATTACGTGACTTAAATATGTAAATTCAAGTTATTCCGTTACGACTTTTCTGCTAATGTGGATTTGTCCTTTTGGTGCAATTAATTATCACTATTCACCACTTCTTTTAGTTGTAGCTAATAAATTGTACCAAACACCAAGAGATTGCAGGTTAGAAGATCCATCCCCGTAAGATGAGAAAAGTACCACTAAAGTCAGCAAAATAAATTCGGTAGCATGAAATAGGTACCGCCTACCATCCATTATAAAGAGATAATAACTGGTCAATTTGTACCTGCATTCACACGCGATGATACCAATGTTTTTCTCAAGTCATTTTGTTTCATTTACCAATGCTTGTTAAAATAGTGAGCATTAATATCTATATCTATATATATATAAAGAGGTTGTTGGAAAAATACATTAATAGAAAGCTTGACTAAATAAATATAATGTTTGACTTACTATTAATGAAAAGTTCGAAAAAACATATGTGAATCTATAGTAACAAAATCTGAATCCTATTTTTTTGGCAATAAATTTGGAGATTCTTATGACAAAATTTGAATTCTATTTTTTTCGTATCATATTTAATTTTTTTACCAAAATTTAAATCATATTTTTTTTGTAACAATTTAGAGATTCTTATGCAAAAAATGTGTCAATTATTTATGAAAACAATATTCTAAATACAATTTTTTTTAAAAACCTTGCAAATTGGATACAAATTTAAGAAATAAATAGTTGTATAATTCTTAACAAATTCTTCCAATCTTACTGAATATTTTTTTCTTTCAAAAAAAGTGTGTAAATTGGATAAAACCACGTGTAATTTTTATTTTAAAATAAAACTGATATTTGGACGGGATGTATATTCAAAGTTGTGTCCACCTTTTTTGGTAACAAAAGCGGTTCATCTTTGATATTTATAGTCACCTTATCCAATTATTTAGGACAAATTGTGTGCAACTTTTTAAAATTTGAAGGCATCGATTTTTTTTGGATTCTTATGTTTTTTCTTAATCATGTTTTATGGAGATTTTGGTAAGTTCATATTATTTTTTTTCTTGGTTAAGTTCATATCATTTTCTTTAAGAAAAAGAGACAGTTGAATAAACATTAACAAATTATTTCAATTTTTTATTAGAATTAGCTTCAATTCAATTTGTTTGGTAAAAAAATTAGTGCAATGTTATGAAATTTCGGTTGCATTTTCAGGAAGAATTCATGATTTTTTATTTGGTTTAAAAAAAAATATTCGGATCAATTAGTTTGATAAAAAAAATCAGTTTATTGGTAAAAAAAATCGATTTTATTTTCAGGAGTAAATAATGATGTTTTCAATTTTGCTTAATTGAAATTTAGAATTAGATTTAAAATAAATAATGGGTGAAAATCCCTAAAAAAATTACTTTTTTTTCTACTTTAATTTTGTTTAATAAATAAGTTCCTTTAATTTTTTTAAAATTTATTAACTAATAACTAAAAATATGCAATTTTAGATAAAATCGAACATCTATGTAGTACTTTACGTGCCAAAGAATCAAATTAATAATGTTGTACATAAGGAAGTGTTTAATAACATATAAATTTTATTTTCATGAAGTTTTTAATGACATGAGACAATTTAAATACAAAAATATCTTTAAAAAATATATATATATATATAATAAATACTCCCGTGCATCGGGCACCATACTAGTTAAACATAAGTTGATGATTCGCGTTTCATTGAAGTAAAACATACACTACAGATTTATGACTTCTCATTTATACCATCACAAAATCATAATCAGAAACACAATTTTAACTTATAACAACCCTCTAGAAACCCTGTGAGCACCCCAATTTTGACTTTATTCTTGAAGTGATCACATGTATTATGTATCACAAACATAAGTTCATGGTGTATCTCAAAAAAATCCTGCAATCGGATAACTGAAGCTCCCAAATTTCAACTCTCACATGAAGAGTGCTAAACCACATAGCTAATCACATGATTTTGGGTGGGTCCACGTGGCGACTGATCCATCTTCTTTTACCCACATGCACATAGGCCATGTTACATGTTTGTGTGCATCAATAGCAGCTGTCACTATCAATTCAACCTAAACTGTATCCAAAATGCATTATCTTTCATTTTCATGGCCATTATTTGGCTTCAACATGAAGGATCAAATCGCCATCAACCCATGACCACAAAACAATCAAAATTAGTTTGTAAATTTACATTCCAAGCATATGGTCGATGGTTGCATCAAGCGTTGAGATCCAACAACAATAAAAGACCGTAACTAGAAGATTTCCTAAGATGTTTAGGCAAAAGCTCATATCAGGACAGGTTAAACTTGACAAAAATAAGAAACAAACAGCTATGCTTTTCGTGTTAGAACTACATTATGCAACTTTAAAGTGGTACCAGGTGAGGATACTATCAAAGAAGTTAAATCTAACTACAGGCTCTGAGGGCCCACACAACATTGTATGGTTCTACTTATCTACCATTTTTATTCAAAATATACAATCTTGCAGACTGCATATATATATATTCGATATTCGAGAGTCCATACAGAACTCAGCTAATTTTTGCCTTATCATGATCGAAAAAAGAACTTATCCAAACAAATACCACAATCCATGTATCCAACTAGCCTCTGGAGTTTTTCACCCATAATTTTTTTGACATCAAAAATTTGAATCTTGATAACCTAATCCATTTTCAATCTCCAAATACCTGACACGCATTTAGTAAATTCTCTGTCAATTTAAGTCATATTGGAAAGATAATAAAGATTTTCTATAACTGGAATATACTAATTATGGATGGAATCAGGGTCCCGTCTGGAAACCATATTCGGACTCAGCTAAGTGCGACTTGACCTGCGCAAGGGCCCTATAACGGTGTGAAATCTTGTTCTTCTCTTCCTTGGGCATCTCAGCATAACTACAACAAGAATTAGTTCAGTTAGTTTTATTTTATCTTTTACGCAATAAATAAAATCTTTGTCATAGAGTAGAACTTACGTCAGCTCATATCCGTCAGGTTGGAAAATAGGATCCCATCCAAAATCATTTGGTCCCCTCGGTGGTACTATCTTTCCCTGAAATGTACGCCGCAAGTTGTGTAAATGGTAGTTATAATACACTGTTTTAAAGTCAAAAGATAAATGCAACAAAGACAGACAATCGCTCAAAAACAAAGCAGTGGAACAATATTTATTCCAGAGTTAAGGACTGTGTAGAAATATAATGGACATTAGGGACGATTGAAGGTTGGAGTAGACAATGACAGTGCCCAGACATAGAGGTTTATTTTGACAAAAGACTATTGAGTACATTAATGTGACAGTAAAACAATGGACTTCATGTATCTAAAGTTCATACATTATTTGTAGCATGTTAACTTGTTAAGGACATTGTTAGGGAAATCTGAACTAGCTCCTAATTTAACTACAAAAGATAAACATTCTACTTTAAGAAGAGTGCTAATATATAAGAAAATCAGTCAAGTGAACGTAAGGAAAAACTCATATATAATTGTAATGATTCAAAAAGATACTTAAGAAACTTTTAGCTGAATAAGTACATTACCCTTATAGGAAAACTTGGAGAAAATTTACCAGTGAAAGGCTATGAAAAGAATATAAAGATTTTAAGGCTAGAAAGAGAAAAACACACATCTAAATT